GCCAACTGAAAAGCCTCCAAGAGTGTAGACTGGTCCGGCTCTGACATCCCTTCCTGGAAGTAGCATGAATAAAACCAAGTTCTTTGCCTGTATCAAGAGAAGTGACCGGCTCCTGTGGTTGGTACCACAGGGCCCCGCCCCCAAGCACGACTTTCTTGCCATCAAGGGCCCGTAAGCAGGCTAACAACAGCACCCCTGTGGCCAACTGAAAAGCCTCCAAGAGTGTAGACTGGTCCGGCTCTGACATCCCTTCCTGGAAGTAGCATGAAAAAAACAGTCATCAAAAAAAAAAAAAAGCGTATATGCTCAAAAAAAAGGAAAACCACCGCCTGGGTACATTTGCATTATCTTCACATCTAAATTGTAAACTGTATTTCTCATCCCTGCCCACCATAACAGTATATCTATACCACAGACTTAATAAATCTAAGTGGGGGAAGTCAGAGCCCAACCTCCTTTGCTTTTAGATTTGGAAGTCAGAAACACAGGGACACATGCTCTCAGGTTGGTGGCAATCGAACGAATCCAATGCTTATGAGTATCCTCAACGGCGCGATTGAAACCAAACTGTAATGCAATTTTGTACTTTAAAGAATTCACCTGGCACACATTTTGCAATCTATATATCGGTGCATTAGGTCAGCACTGTGGGTACACTAAGACGATACCTCCCCGGCCTCGGGAGATTATAGTCTACTAGGTATCAGGTGTGAACTAACAAGGATAGAACATGTATGAGGCCATACGAAACCTAGAAAGTGATCCAAGAGTCCAGAGAGAAAACATTTTCATGTCTGGAAATTCAGTTCTTCAGAAATGTTAGAGTGATGGTGAATTTGACAGGAGTACAAACACGGTAAAAAGGTTTTTCGAGGGTGCAAGCTTTTCCTAAATCTCACATTCTGCCTAGAAATGAGTAACAAGAACAGAAGTGTCCCAGGGGTAAACAGCAATCATGCAAAGAAATCTATTAGTAACAAGTTAAGCATCTTTAGGTCAACGGGAGCACAAAGAGCCAGTAACACCAAGTGAGGAGTGGAAAACAGTGCCACATGATAAGCTCGAGGGGAGGTGCGGAAAGGACACATATTTTCTTCTACACCGTCACCAACGGAAGCAAGCGGGGTGCATGAAGCAGGGAAGGCCCTGGGAGCACCATGGCCACTTCCGATTCTGAAGGGCCTCTGCAAGTCTAAGAATGCACTAAGCAAGTCTCTGCTTTTCTTCCCAGAAACAACCGGACTTCCAATCCCAGGGCACATACCCCGAAACAGATCACGGCCTCCCTCTCTAGCAATGTTGTGAGTGAGGGCTGCTTTCCTGATGAAGGATTCAGAAAATGAATCAGAGGTATGACCTCCAAATGCCATAGATACAAAGATACCCCATAACCTTCTAAAACTTTTAACACTAGAGAAAAATGTATCATATCGCATTATAGGAAGAGCCCCATTTGACACATGGAACCAAAGTTTACAAAGTAAAAGAGATTTTTATTTTTTAATTTTTTTTCAGGTTTTAAAACTTTTTATTTGCATATTTAAAAAACTGTACATTCCAATAATTAAAATCATTTGAACAAAAAAAAAATGGCACTCTGATTAAACTGCATTTTCCAGCCTGCAGGACTAGCTTGATTTTTACTCTAGGTTTCACTGTCGTCTCACCCAGCTTCTGCCTTCACCAACATGCAAGTTCTTCTCCTTCCCAGCCAGCCAGACAGGCGGGTGGGAGAGGCAAGTGCAGCCTTTGTTGTCAGTACTTGGATGAGAAAAGGGGGCAGGGCACTCATTTAAACTTGATCCAACCTCTTTGCATCTTACAAAGTTAAACAGCTAAAAGAAGTAAAATAAGAAGGCAATGCTTGTGGAATGTACTGTGCATACCGGCGGTGCGCGCCTTAATACGATTTACCTGCCTGCTTCTCGTGTTCAATCATTTCTTTTGATGGCAGTGGAGTTTTCTTTTGCGTTTCTGTATTCTTCAATTTTGATTTATCCAGAACAAGTGAATCCGATCTGCTCAGTGGCTGTCATGGAGTGCTCAAAGTAAAAGGGACTTTTAATGTTAACTTCCTTGCTTCTCTTAGAATTTGTTTTTAAACGTTTGTTATTTTTATTTGTGTGTTATCTAGGCACAGGGTTTCGAAAGTCAAAGAGTTTCACTAACTCTGATGCAAAACACAGAGGGCTCTCATGTCTTCCTCTCGCCACAAATTTGGGGTCACTAACAAAATCCCAGTACTGTGTCATCTAAGCATTGGAAGGACTCATTATGACTTCACTTTTGAGCGTGGGGAGCAGTCTTTGAATCCTGTATTTCTCTCCATCTTTGCCTTTTACTTTTTCTTCCATCTGTCCTGTCCATTCCCAAGACAGGTCGGCACTGAAGGGAGTCTTCCAAGATGTAGCCAAGAGGAGGGAGTGTACAGACTGACTCTGCAAATACCATCTGAAGACTATGTCACAGATTGGAGGCAGACAGGGAGAAGAGTCGCTTCCTTCACTAATTTTCTTTAGGCCATTTGGATATGTCATTGATCCATTAGGGAAATGCTTTGATTACACGGACCACTACTGGGCCGGGGTCTGGCACAGCACTTAGGACAAAACTGCTGACCAAGAGGCCTAGGCACCTGATTCTCCACTGCCCAGCACGTGGCCCCTCATCCACCCTCGGTTCTTCCATCTACTACTATGGTTTCGATTTTGTCCCAAGGAGTGACAAAGGTGATCATATAAGATGGATAAAGATATTCTTTAGTGCTCCTAGTTCCTTTTTTTCCCCACTGAAGCAACTGCTTTTAATTTTTTATATTTTTACTTTTATCAATTATAATTGACATACAACATTATATTAATTTCAGGTGTACAACACACTAATTAGATATTTCTATAAAAACTGCTTTTAAATCCTGATTTTTGATAAAGTAATCTTTCTTTGGATTCTGATTACTACCTTATCACAGAACAGACCAAAAAAATCACATTTGTCTTTTGTCTCTTCAGAGGTGCTGAAATCACTCTGCATGGTAGAGAATGTTCCCTCCACAGTCCCTAAGGTTATTCATGTATAACTAAGCTGATTAAGTTATAGATAAACTGGGTTGAGGCTCACAGTTTTATTATAAGGAAAAATGTTCATAACAAACAATAAAAAGTACAAATGTTAAGTAGAGAGCTTTGCCTCAGGACAGAGAAAAACAATACAAGCACACTGAAGTCAGGAATAAGCCAAGGAAGGAAAGATATAAAATAGCACTTTAAAAAGGATAAACTATAGCCATGCCACCCTGAACAAGCCAGATCCCATCTGATCTTGGAAGCTAAGCAGGGTCGGGCCTGGTTAGTACTTGGATGGGAGACCACCTAGGAAGACCAGGTGCTGTAGGCGTAAAAAATAAAAAAATAAGGGATTGTAAGATGACAAGGTCCTTGCAATCTGTGAGGTGAACCAAAGGTTGCCTCGCTTAAAAGATAAATAAGTAAAAAATAAATAAAAAGGATGAAGAGCTAGAGAAATGCAAGATATTATGATATGCAAATTTTATGTTCCCTACAGTTTGGGACTCATGGAATGCATGCAAAAAAGTGTTAAATATAAAAAGAAGGCAGCATTGGATACAACCAACCACAAAAGAAAAAGATCATAGTATAAAGGGCAACTGAGTCCCTTACTGTCCTAAATATGGGCCAGGTATCACTAGGAGCTGACTCTGTGACTCCCTCACCCCAACATCCCACTTAGAGGAGTTAAGAGGTTTTAAGGCAACAATTCAATATTGAATAAAGGGTTAAAAGGGGGAAGTGATACCTTATAGTCAGGAGGCAGTCAAATACCTTTTGATTAATGATCCCCAGAGCATGCTGTGGTATGGGCTATTTCTTCATCTTCTCTAGATTATGCAATCTCAAGAATGAGGAAACTCGTGGAACCTCTACTTTCTGGAGGTGATATAGGAATCCAAGCCAATGGGAAAGGCCTGAAATAATAACAGCATATTTATAATGATATAATTTAGGTACAGCTTTAATATATTGAAACGATTGGTACAGTAACACAAACGTCAGCATAAAAGGAAATAAAAGACTTCTGGGTCACTAATGGGATTATTCTAGGGAAATCTGCTCATTAATCTAGTAACAATGCTGACACTGTTCCTGCCATTTTGAATCTATCGAATGCATTTAACATTAACATGTACATGTTCCATTTGTGAATTGCTATTTTATCAATTCTGGAAGGTCAACAATAAGGAATTAAACTGATGCTATAAGAATACAAAGATGACTTTAATTTCCAAATCTGACTAAAATTTGGAAAGTCTCAATTCTGTTTTACATACTGTTCCCCCATCATCTTTCCTGGCTGGCTGACAAGTCAAAAGAGTCTCTTGCTGTTCCCACCAGCACTGGGAATATGGAGTTCAATGAGCTGTGCATTCAGAGGGCACAAAAGTGAATACAAGGCCTACATACAGAGAACGAACACAGCATTTCTCCACTGGCAGGGGACAGAGCCTACTTCATTATGCATCTCCTACTGGCATTCAAGAACCGAAGGCTCTGTACAAGCTGGCAGGCAACAGTACCCAAGGGAGTCCGTCACTATTTTCTTTTGTATGTCTTCTGATCATTGTCAGGTAGACTATTACTTACAGGTTTTGTTCCTTGTGCTGGCTATCACCTCCAGAGCCACTCTTCTAGACTCGACTCTGTTGTGGGGCAGAGACTCTGTAGATTGCCAGCTGATAGTGCCCTAAAAAGAGTCAATGGTTCACACACACACACACGCACACGCACACATGTACACTTAGAGACACACACCACACACATGCATATACATGTACAGAGACATACCATATACATACCACACATACCCCACACAAATGTATACTCAGAGTCACACACCACACATATACACATACACACACATACACCCCACAAGCACCAGATACCCTTAAAGTATCACTTCATAATATCAGGGGAAAAAAAGCAGGGTAACTTTTTTTAATTCGGAATTTTTATTAAGTATATAAATAGCAACGTGAGAACAAGGAGTTCTAAGGCTTGTACATTATCTCCAGGTGAGAGGATTTCAGATTAGTCCCCTTGTAGTCTGACATCGCCCAAGATAACAAAGAGGCCTAGTATAGTTTTTCCTGAAGAAGAAAGCCAGTTTACAACATTCAATACTGACTTCTCTGCCATTTTTCTGTAGAAATACTGGTTTGTTGTATGGTGTTTCCAATGTTTTCCTATAACTAAAAGAAAAAGAAAAACATAAGTAATCTGTGCCAGAAAAAAATAAAAATGACTCTAAAATTTTGCATTTCGAAAATTCTTTAGGTTTAAATAGAGAAACCATATCAAACATTTACATTACCATTATGTGACCCTGAGGATCATAAGGAGCCACAGAAAAATATAATTATTCCCATTTTATAGATGGGCAACTAAACACCAGGAAGGTTTTGTGTTTCATCAATACTACATTCACATTCTCAAATGGCTGTGTATCTGAGCATAATTTAACAGATGGATGGATGAATAAATAAAAAATAAATGCCTAAAGGCACAGCACACATCATATCTCATCTCTTCTGAAAACAAAAGAACTATATTTCCATTCGTCTGTTGGAGGAGGATACGATTATATCCTTGTCAGTCTGATGTATAACTTTCCTCACATCGCCCCATCATTCTTTTCTGGAATGGGACACAGAAATCTAAAGACACACTAAAGACAAATCAGCTCCTCTCCGCATTGCTTTTTTCCAAATATGTAATTAATCTACTTAGCAATTAGAGGTTTACAAATACTTTATGGGCCAGTGACTGATTATTCATTTGATCTTTTAAGATAAAACCAAAAATTCTTAAACATTTAAACCGGTAGCTTACCTTTTCTGTCTCAGTTTATTAATCTGCCTGGGACTTCTCTAAGAATTCAACAGATTTACTGCATTGTTAAAAGCTACAAACTGGAAACAACCTATATTAACTAGGGTTCAACAGATCATGGTAGTCCATACTAGGAAATTATTATGCAAGATAATGAGATAGATCTGTAAATGCCAACAGGGAAAGATGTACACAATATATTAAGTGGAAAAAAAAGCAAATTCATTCATTCATTCACTCAACATAGTTAAACACAGCACTGTCTATGAAGTTTTCTTACCAAAAAATCGAACCTAAATCTGATTAAGCCTTCAGATCCAACTATCAGCTTATGGGAATCGCAGGGAAGAGAAGAACCAAGAGATAAACAGAATGACGCTAAATGGATGCACTCAGCCACGCCCACAATTGGGAAATTCTAAAGGGCAAATGAGCCCAGGTTTCCAACAAATAAATGGTAAGAGAAAAATGAAGAAGGAACGATTATAGTTTAAAAGGGACTTAGGAAACCTATTGGTCGAATGCAATAGGTAGATCTTATTTAGATCCTGATTCAAACATATCAACTGTAAAAAGTTATTAATGAGACAATCAGGTAAATCTGCATACTATCTTGATATTACATGATATTAAAGATTTAGTGTTAATTTCTTTAGGTGTAATTGCAAAATTTGCATTTACAATTATAATATGTGCCTTCACGGAGCTTTCAGGGTACTTGCAAAATAATACAAGGAATATAATCTTATCCTGTCAAAAAAACAGAAGCACATATGGATGCATGCATATTTACACACAGACAAAAAAAAGTGTGGAATGATACACTAAACTACTAACAGAAATTACCTCTGGGAAAGGAATAGAGGACAAGACAGGCTTTAAAAATATCTAAAAAATTTTCTTTACAACTAATATGCATCACTTGCGTAATTAAAAATACATCTCCAATAAAGAGCTAAAAAATAAAGAATGAAATCAAGATTGTATATACCATAAGTTGAATTCTGGCCCAGACTATTTCTGAAAAATAAAATGGATATTTACATAGCTTCCCTTTATTCCATGTCTCATTGTCCCTGTAGAGAAAGATAACCATATTCAATGAGTGTAAAGTCTCTGGAGGACATGTGTGGCTTCCTTGCTGCTCACCCTCTAGTCTCTAATAGCGCACTGGATGCACATCTGGCCCCACTTGCCAGAGATGCCGATTCTTGGGTGGGGCTTAGGCCTCTGCATTTTAACAAGATCCCCAGGTAATTTGTTTGTATAACAATATTTGAGAACTACTGACTTAGCGTTACTATATGAAGGGGCAGAATGTGAAAGAGGATCTGGATTTGTTTTCTGTAGCCCCTAACACAGGATCAGGACCATTGTGTAGGACTTACAAAGAGACATATTTTTGCTTTAGTATAAGAAATAGCTTCCTAAAAATAAGAACTGTCCAAAGATGACTGCCTTGTGGGGTGAGTTTTCTATCAGTGGAGATGAAAAGTGGGAGCACAGAGGGCTACAGGGGATTTATGCTTGAGGCTGGGAGTTGAGCCAGATGACCCCCTCTCAAATTCTAAGATTATATGACTCTCTGGATCTCCCAAAATATGAAGACAGCTTGAAAAAGAAAAACTTCAAACCCAGGGCTTTCATGAATTTTAAATAGAAGCTAAGATTTACAATAAATGTAACAATGATATAAAAAAATGTTTATTATAAAAGAAAATTTATATTCATTGTAAAAAATTAAAAATATAGAAAGTTATATTAAAAAACATCCATAATTCTATTATAAAAAGATATATACAAAAGTCCCTCTGATCTGCAGGGGATATGTTCCATGACCCACAGTGGATGCCTGAAACCATGGATAGTACCAAACTCCATACACACTATGTTTTTTCCTAGACATGCATACCTATGACAAAATTTAACTTGTAAATTAGACACAATAAGAGACTAGCAACAATAACTAACAATAAAATAGAAAAATTATCACAATATACTGTAATAAAAGTTATGTGACCCTGGTCTCTCAAAGTATCTTATTGTAGTATAGGTACATCGTAGATACGCTAGACAAAGGGATGATTCACATCCTGGGTGGGACAGAGCAGGACGGCACGAGATTTAGTCATGCTACTCAGAACAGTGTGCAATTTAAAACTTGTAAACTGTTTATTTCTGGAATTTTCCATTTAATATTTTTGGATCACGGTTGACCACAAGTAACTGAAACCATGGAAAGTGAAACTATGGATAAGGGGGTACTATTTATTTTGTTCTTTTTCCTGGCCTTTATCTTCTCTAAAAATATATCATACTATTCTTTTCCTCTTCCATTTAACAATAATTGTGCACATGTTCCCATGCAATTAAATGTTACTGAAACATAATAATATTCCTTTTATGGACATACCATAATTAAGTCGTTTTCCTGTAGCCAAATATTTAGATTGTTTCCAAATTCAATTTAATCTATTTGTCAGGAAATCACAAGTGCTGCTATACAATTTTTAATATATATAAAATAATATTAATATAACTAGTGTTTTTGTACTTAGCAGGTATTCAATGAGTAAATATTAAACAGAGTTCAAAACAGTGGTTATAAGGATGCTCAATGAACTTAGGGGAAGAGTAGCAGATGAACTTAGTGAGAACTTTAACTAAGAGATAGAAAACATAAAAACGGAGATACAAAACATAAAAAAGAACCAGTCAAAAATGAAGACTATAATAACTGAAATGAAGAATACATTATAGGGAATCAACAGATTAGATGAAGCAGAGGACTGAAATCAGCGATTTAGAAGATAAGACAGCAGAAAACACCTAATCGGAACAGCAACAACAAAAAAAATCCAAAAAAGTGAGGATAGTTTAAGGGTCCTCTGGGACAACATCAAGCAAACCAACATTTGCATCATAGGGATACGAGAAGGAGAAGAGAGAGAGCAAGAAATTGAAAACCTATTTGAAAAAATACTGACTGAAAAGTTCCCTAATCTGGTGAAAAATAGACATACAACACCAGGAAGTGCAGAGAGTCCAAACAAGATGAAGCCAAAGAGGCCCACACTAAGACACATCATAATTAAAAGTGCCAAAGGTTAAAAACAAAGAATCTTAAAAGCAGCAAGAGAAAAGCAGTTAGGAGCTCTCATAAGACTGTCAGCCTATTTCTCAACAGAAACTTTTTAGGCCAGAAGGTCTTGGCATGAAATAGTCAAAGTGATGAAAAGCAAGGACCTACAACCAAGATTGCTCTACCCAGTAAAACTATCGTGTAGAATTGAAGGACAGGTAAAGAGCTTCCCAGATAAGAAAAAGCTAAAGAAATTCATCACCACTAAGCCAGTATCACAGGAAATGTTGGAAGGACTTCTTTAAGAAGAGAAAAAGAGGGGAAAAAAGAGAAAAAAAATATGAATAAAATGGCAATAACTGCATATCTATCGACAAGTATTTCAAATGTAAATGGATTAAATGCTCCCATCAAAAGATGGGGTGGCTGAATGGATAGAAAATCAAGACCCTTTCATATACTGCCTACAAGAGACTCACTTCGGATTGAAAGACACATAGAATGAAAGTAAAGGGACGGAAAAAAGAGGTTTCGTGGAAATGGAAACACACAAAAAAGGCTAGGGTACCATTACTTATGCCAGACAAAATAGACTTTAAAACAAAGGCTAGAACAAGAGACAAAGAAGGACCCAGTTATCCCACTTCAGGGTATTTACCTGAAGAAACTCAAAACACTACTTTGAAAGGACACATGCATCCATATGTTCATTGCAGCATAATTTACAACAGTCAAGATATGGAGGCAACCTGGGTGTCCATCAACGGATGAATGGATAAAGAGGTGGCATTTATATACAATGAGATATTACTCAGCCACAAATAAACAAATAAATAAATAAATAAATCCTGCCATCTGCAACAACATGAATGGACCTAGAGGGTGTTGAGCTGAGTGTAGTAAGTCAGAGAAAGACAAATGTCATATGAGTTCACTTAGATGTGGAACCTAGAGAACAAAATAAACGAACGAACAAAACAGAAACAGATTCATAGACACAGAGAACATTTTGATGGTTCCCAGATGGGAGGAGGATTGAGGCTAGGTGACAAAAGAGAAGGGATTAAAAAGTACAAATGGTAGTTACAAAATAGTTATGGTGATGTAAAGTATAGCATAAAGAATATAGTCAATAATATTGTAATAACCGTGTATGGTGTCAGGTGGGTACTAGATTTATCAGGGTGATCACTCTGTAAGTTATAGAAATGTCTAACCACTATGTTGTATACCTGAAACTAATATAATGTCACATGTCGACTGCAAGTAAAAATAACATCAACAAATGCTTACTGAATGACTATTAGATGAACATAAGTATGCTCACTATACTGAAGTGTTCTTTAAAAATAATAAACCTAAGAAATAATTGCATTTTTCAATTGTCTGAAATAGTTTTGTAGACAAATAACAACTGTCAGGTTCTAGCTTGTCTAAAAGACCCAGGTACACCTCAGGAACAAACACAATTATATAAGTCATGGCACCTGAGCCCAGAAATTAAAAATGGAATGAAATATCATCCTGACTCTTATGTTTCCATATAAAGTTGAAACTGCTATAATTAATTATTTTTAATTAATCTATAATTAAATTAAAGACAATGCATTTCAGCTGGTGCTAACAATGATAAAAGTAACCACAGAATTTTCCTGTTCTTTACCTGATTAAAATGGGCAGAGCATGGAGTATTCTACTTATTTCCGGGTGAATTCTTCACATTTCCTGGCTTATAAAACAAAAAGTAAGATTATTAATACAGTTTGAAAAGAAATAATGAAACATCTAAAGAAATAGTAGAACACCTCAAAGTGCCAATCCTCAGTATTTGGCTGAATACAAACATTCAATATTATTAGGCAGAATGACATATTTCTCAGAAAACTTAAGGAATTACTAAGGTTCCCTGCTGTAGAGTCACTTATGCACAGAGAGCAGGAAATAAAGCTCCATGAATTCTCACTATACAGATTCAGCTAAACAGCTGATTCTATTTAAAAATTCAAATCAATAGTGAAAAGATTTCTTTACTACTTCATGCCATGGTCATTGTTAAAGGTTTGACAGCTATGGAGATACTTCCTGTAGGTACTCTGCTCTGGGTATCCTCTACCATAGGGGCCAAATCGCAAAACATGTTTATCCTGGAAGAGGCTATAATCAAACCACACCCATTCTGCCTGGCTGCCATCTGGGAACGTATAGTTAGGACATGTCATCCACGAGAAGAGATGTAGGAAAGTTTCTAGTGGGGAAAGTCCATGTACTAAATGTTTAAGGCCTCTCTTTCTTTCCTTTATGTTTTTAAGACTTTAATTCTGAAAACATGTTAGTAAGACCTGATGTACATCAAAGATCTGGGCTCCTATGAGATAGCAATCTGAAAAACACAAGGCTGCAGTTAAGTGAGCAATGAGGCTGTGATTCTGTGGTCTAGACTTGGTATAGGTTCTCTTGGTGGCCTTCTCTCAGCTATCCATGGGTAAAGGAGGGAAAAAGTGAGAAAGCAGGAACATGTGACTAACCCTGTAATCTCGGAGCATGGTTTCTAGGCAACTTTGGGCTTACTGGAGTAGTAAATTTGAAAACTAGTCTCTAAGCATGGAGATCACACATCCTGGCTTGCCCAAATTATACTGGTTTATACCCAATGTCCCAGCATAATTAATAGTGCCCCCTTTCACTTTCTCTGGAGTACCGCAGGTTGGATGATAAGTTATATGGTCACCCTATCTACAGACCATATACACTTGACAATGGAGTCCCAGAGAACAAGGCCATACACATTGCTTGATGGATCATCATACAATACCCAGGTCTACTTGTTACTCTGAACAGAGCTCTACAGGACCCAGTGCCTGTGCGTCTTACTCTATTCCTCCAGAGTGACTTTCACACATACACACACACAGCACCAGAGGCCTTCTTTCTGTTGCTCTTCCAGCTTGCCCAGATCTTTCCTGGGATGAGACCTTTGCAAAATGTATCCCTTGACCTAGAATGAACAATTCCAAGGTTTGCCTGGCTAAATGCTATTCGCCCTTTAGATCAAGGCTTTCCCCTGTGCACTGCCCTTAGATTTAGATAAGAACATTTTATTCACATTCATAGTACCCGTGAGCTTCCTGACTTGTATAAATCTTTTATTCATATTTGAATCCTTCATAATATATAAGCTTCATGAGGACACAATATCCCCAGGACCTCCTAACACACAGTATTCAAACATTTGTTGAATAAATCAATGGAATGGGGTAGAACCTAGAGATCTGATGAGTATTAAAAAAGTTTGGGGATGTAATTAATGAAGGGCAAGAAGAGTTAAAAAAGGATTATTGGAAGTAAGTGAGATAACCATGTCTGACAATTGGGTCTGTCATAAAAACTATGTGATTCTCTACCTAGTTAAATATACTTAGGTCTGAATTATCTTAACATAATATTTGCCAAGTACTTCTAGTGATATCCTTATATATTCTATCTATACTTGCCAGCATCTCAATCTCAAAAACATAAGATGCCAATTTATAAGCTCTTTTATCTTTTGGACATTAAGAAAACGAACACATAAAAACATTCATCTGGTTGAGGAAAACAACTCTGTTGCTAAGGAAATTTTCTTGTCTGGTGACAGATCACTTACAGTATAACAAAACATGGCAGTCGACTATCTCACTAAAGAAATATTGAGCCCATCCACCCTATTACAAATCAGATCTCTCTTGGCAGAAAGCTCTATGAGCTCAGAAAAAAGAACATTCTGACTTCAAAAGGCAGTTTGTGATTTAGCACAAGCCAGAAATTAATTTTTTTTGCATTTTCAAACAATTTTATTTAATATAATTTATAACTCAATAATTCTCCTTATAATCTAATTTTAACACATATTGGGTTTCATTGCTTTTTAGTATATCAATACATTTTATTTAACCCAACATATCTAAACTATTATTTCAACATATAATCAATATAAAAATGAGATAGTTTACATTCTTTTTATTTCTACTATGTCTTCCAAATGTGGTGTGAATTTATCCTTACAGCACTTCAATTCAGACCAGCTATATTTCAAGTACTCAATAGCTGTGGCTGCCATATTGGACTACAAACGGCTAGAGCAATAAGCTAAACAGCACTGTGATGCTTAGTTTTATGTGTCAACTTGGCTAGGCTATAGTAGAAAATTTATTTTCTTGCCATGTCCACAAACATGAACAATAATTTCTATTAGCAAAATTGAAATATTTGTTTTAATCAAAACATTTTTTTCTAATTAGTATGCACTACCATGTGAAAGGGGGATTTCCAGCCAAACCTTTGGGGTATAGCAGCCCACTCAAAGTCTGAGTCCCTCACCAGTAGAATCACTTTGATCAATTACTTAACTTCTCCAAAGTGTAGTTTCCTCATTTGTAAAACGGGAATAATAACAGAATCTGCCTCATAGACTCTTCTGAGCAAAGAGTTCAGGGCCCAGGGCCAAACTCACAGCAAGTGCTCAATAAACATTACCTATCCTATGTGGCAGGTCACTTAACTTTTTGGATGAGGTAATAAAAGGTAAGGATAAATGGTGTGTTAAAGACCCCAGTGAAATTCCAGTTCACTAAATGTAGCAGGCAGAATAATGGGCCCCACAAAGATGTCTGCATCCTGATCCTGGAATCTGTGACTGTGTTACTTTACGTGGCAGAGGTAAATTAAGGTGGCATTGGAATTAAGGATGCTAATCAGCTGGAGATAAACAAATAGAATAGGGCAGAACCTAAAGATGATGAGTATTAAAAATGTTTGGGCATGTAATTAATGAAGAACAAAAAGAGTTAAAAAGAGGTTTATTGAAAGTAAGTGAGATTACTTTGGATTATCTGGGTGGGCCCAATCGAATTGCACGGGTTCCTATAGTCTCAGGAGGAGGCAGAAGACTGGGACAGAGAAATGGGAAGTAAAAAGGATTCAACCTGCAGTAGCTAGCTTTGAAGATGGAGGAAGAGGGTTACAAGCCAAGGAATGCTGAAGCCTCCAGCAGCTGGGAAGAGCCTTTAGCTGACAGCCAGCAAAACAGACCTTGGTCCTGTAAGTACAAGGAACTGAATTCTGCCAACAACCTGAATGAGCAGAATTCTCCCCTCGAGCCTCCAGAAAGGATTGCAGCCCTGCTGACACCTTGATTTAGCACCAGACTTCTGACCTACAGAGTGTAAGGTAATAAATCTGTGTTACTTTAAGCCAGTAAATTGTGGCCATTTGTTATGGCAGCAGTAAAACACTAAAACACTGATAGGAAGGCTCTTGACTGATGAGGTTAGGCCCTATGGCTCCCTTTTCCATCAGATATTATCTTCTCAGGCAGAAGTGAAAATGTGCAGATGTCACATGACATCTATCATGGCTATCATGCTAGAGTCTGTCCATTTTATGTGTTTCTAACATGGAAAAATTCATTTAATCATCAAAACAGCCCCCATGACCTACTACCCACATTTTCTAGAACTCTGAGCAATTTCCCAAGGTTTCCAAGATTCTAAGCGGTGGGACGGGGGCAGAGCCTGATGCCCCCCTCAACCTGCCCCTGCCCCTGGCCACTGGGCCACACTGCACTCTGGCTGGTCTGCCTTTTCTGACACCAAAAGGGTATGCTTTTCAAAAAAGGAGATGATCTTTTTTTTTTTTTTTTCAGGATTTCTAACTTTTTATTTTGCTAAGTAATGATGTTTTTAAAAAAAGAAAAAAGAACATTCATCGTCTACTGCCTTTTTTTCGTTAAGAATTTTAAACAACGAAAACTACAAAGGGCACAAATTCAGAACGAATTTAGCTTTATGGAAAATCCACCACATTGTCCTTACTTTTATTTTATTGTGGTAAGAACACTTAACATGAAATCTACCCTCCTCACAAATTTTTGAGTGCACAATACAGTATTGTCAACTACAGACACAACGTTGTCAAGCAGATCTCTACAACTTACTCATTTCGCATAACTGAAACTTTATGCCCATTGAACAACTCCCCGTTTCCCCTTCCTACCCCAGAGCCCCTGGCAACCACCATTTTCTCTCTGCTTCTTTGAATCTGACTATTATAGATACTTCACATAAGTAGAATCATGATGCAGTATTTCTCCACTTGTGACTGGCTTATTTCAAAGATGATCATTTTTAAATCATTTAAAGCACATAAG